GTGTTTAATGTTTTATGGAGATGGGATATACAGGCTGAGTCTGTCAGTTTAAGGCTTGTGCCATAAAATGTATGTATGTTTATATTTTGATATAATGCTGATAATATTTGACACATCTTCCAACTCTCCTTAATTTTGTGTGAGAGCGATTCAAATGTAATTTTTTTAATTGTATAAAAAACGAAAACTACTCAATCATCAGGAACAAATAATACTCATTACTTTAATAATCTTAAATGTGTACTTACTTACATTTTTAAACAGTGCTAGGCTGAATGGTTTGTAGTCCGCTGGTGTAATCTTCATCTGCATTTATGGTCCACTCAGTGAGCTGCTCTGAATTACAAACCCAGGCTCTCATCGTCAGTAAAGCCCTCCATTTGCACCCACACAGTTTATTCCCACTACAAACAGTCAACTATGCTGCATGCCACCTAGTGAATAAAGTTCTCTCTCAAATCAAACAGGATCTTTGAGGTCAGAGTAAACATTCGGCCTCCATTACATCTAAACCTTATCGTGTTTGGCTCTTGACAGTAAAATCTTGTTTTTCACTAACAGCCCTCGAGCTAAAGAGCCTGAATCCTCCACGTTTCCCCGCCAGACCGCTGTCTCAATCCCCACATGACAGTTTAATGTTCTGATTTACAGTCTGTCGAAGCTCCTTATTGAAGACATCACATTAACTAACAACCCTAACTGTTCTCATCTTGCCGATAGTAATCCTGCGTTTATATTATCGCACCCTGCAGGCGATCGTTCTCCTCCAGTCTTCATTAATTTCATCCTCCCTTTAAGGCACTAGTTACTATCTGTGTCCCAGAGTTCAGATGCATTGATTGACTGTTGGTGCTGCTTCAAACACTAATGATAGGCCTACAGTGATTTATACGCCTCCTCTCTGTTGTCGCTACAGTCATTATGACTGTAAGGAGGCATTTATCACCAGTGTTGTAACCTCGCTGTTATGAGAGAGTTTTTTGCCTGTGGTTATAAAATCCAGAGTTGGTATTTGCGCGGAGACGTAACTCAACATGCATCTTAATGTGGACGTCACTTCACTGTGCTGCTGCGGTGTGGTTGGATGACATAAAAACACCACTTCAGTAGTGAAAAGTCTGAGTTAATGTCTTTAAAAAAACGTTGAAAAAATAGTTGTGACCAGATGAAAAACATGTAAAACATTGAGTACAATACATGGTGATTTATATCCTCATTCTTTGTTCTTTTTCATTGTATAATTAGATGGTAATTAATAAGTAAAGCTGTTATATTAAACTGCACACACAACATGGTGGAGGATATGAGCAGTTTTCTTCCGTCCTCAGCAGTTTGACTTGTGTGTAAAGAGTGTTTGGGAAGTGGC